ATTTTCCCTGTATCAAACATCCTAGTATGTCACTGTATCAAACATCCTAGTATTTTCCCCTGTATCAAACATCCTAGTATTTTCCCCGTATCAAACATCCTAGTATTTTCCCTATATCAAACATCCTAGTATTTTCCCTGTATCAAACATCCTCGTATGTCACTGTATCAAACATCCTAGTATTTTCCCCTGTATCAAACATCCTAGTATTTTCCCTGTATCAAACATCCTAGTATTTTCCCTGTATCAAACATCCTAGTATTTTCCCCTGTATCAAACATCCTAGTATTTTCCCTGTATCAAACATCCTAGTATTTTCCCCTGTATCAAACATCCTAGTATTTTCACTGTATCAAACATCCTAGTATTTTCACTGTATCAAACATCCTAGTATTTTTCCCTGTATCAATCATCCTAGTATGTCACTGTATCAAACATCCTAGTATTTTCCCCTGTATCAAACATCCTAGTATTTTCCCTGTATCAAACATCCTAGTATTTTCCCTGTATCAAACATCCTAGTATTTTCCCTGTTGGTCACTGTATCAAACATCCTTGTATTGTCACTGTTGGTCACTGTATCAAACATCCTAGTATTGTCACTGTATCAAACATCCTAGTATGTCACTGTATCAAACATCCTAGTATGGTCCCTGTATCAAACATCCTAGTATGATCACTGTATCAAACATCCTAGTATGGTCCCTGTATCAAACATCCTAGTATGTCACTGTATCAAACATCCTAGTATGATCACTGTATCAAACATCCTAGTATGATCACTGTATCAAGCATCCTAGTATTGTCACTGTTGGTCACTGTATCAAACATCCTAGTATGGTCACTGTTGGTCCCTGTATCAAACATCCTAGTATGGTCACTGTTGGTCCCTGTATCAAACATCCTGGTATGGTCACTGTTGGTCACTGTATCAAACATCCTAGTATGGTCACTGTTGGTCCCTGTATCAAACATCCTAGTATGGCCACTGTTGGTCACTGTATCAAACATCCTAGTATGGCCACTGTTGGTCACTGTATCAAACATCCTAGTATGGCCACTGTTGGTCACTGTATCAAACATCCTAGTATGATCACTGCATCAAACATCCTAGTATGATCACTGCATCAAACATCCTAGTATGGTCACTGCATCAAACATCCTAGTATGATCACTGCATCAAACATCCTAGTATGATCACTGCATCAAACTTCCTAGTATGATCACTGCATCAAACATCCTAGTATGATCACTGCATCAAACATCCTAGTATGGTCACTGCATCAAACATCCTAGTATGATCACTGCATCAAACATCCTAGTATGATCACTGTATCAAACATCCTAGTATGGTCACTGCATCAAACATCCTAGTATGATCACTGCATCAAACATCCTAGTATGATCACTGCATCAAACATCCTAGTATGATCACTGTATCAAACATCCTAGTATGGTCACTGCATCAAACATCCTAGTATGATCACTGCATCAAACATCCTAGTATGATCACTGCATCAAACATCCTTGTATCATCACTGCATCAAACATCCTAGTATGATCACTGCATCAAACATCCTAGTATGATCACTGCATCAAACATCCTAGTATGATCACTGTATCAAACATCCTAGTATGGTCACTGTTGGTCACTGTATCAAACATCCTAGTATTGTCACTGTTGGTCACTGAATCAAACATCCTAGTATTGTCACTGTTGGTCACTGTATCAAACATCCTGGTATTGCCACTGTTGGTCACTGTATCAAACATCCTAGTATGGTCACTGTTGGTGCCTGTATCAAACATCCTGGTATGGCCACTGTTGGTCACTGTATCAAACATCCTAGTATGGCCACTGTTGGTCACTGTATCAAACATCAAACATCTTAACATTGCGTAAAATGAAATAGATCAACAGAGTGATCGAATAAAAAGGAACCCGCTTATCATTTGTTCCCTTGGCCCACCCCTGCCGACTGCCTCGGGTAAAATTCAAACCATTAACCAAGTCAAAAGGTTGTCAAACTGTTGGTGGTTTGTACCGGCCAGCAGCAAGTCGGCCTGTCGGTACTTACAATACCGGAATTTACAAGTTTTAGTTTACGTTCACGCAGCTTTTCGTTGAGTGTTGAACGAGGTCAAGTGGGGCCGGACGATGAACGTTTGGGGCCGGGCGATGGACATGTGGGCCTTGTGGGGCCATTATGCAATTCTTATACAATTTCCCAGCACTTCTAAATGTGAACAAGTCATTCCACTCTTGTCTTTATGAAACAAAGTGTAAGCGGTCTTGCTTGAAAGTAAAAGTCATTTAGGATGAACTTTGGAGTTGTGCTATCAGATATTGATGGAGAACTTCAAGTTGTTCTATCTGATATAATTGATGTTGAGCTTCGAGTTGTTCTATCAGATATTGATGGAGAACTTCGAGTTGATCTATCAGATATTGATGTTGAACTTCAAGTTGTTATATCAGATATAATTGATGGAGAACTTAGAGTTGTCCTATCAGATATTGATGGAGTATTGATGGAGAACTTCGAGTTGATCTATCAGATATTGATGATGAATTTCGAGTTGTTCTATCAGCTATTGAGCCAAATATAAAACAAATATATTAAAAGCAAAACATGCTCAAACGTGTCACTCATCCACCCATGTGGCGCTACAACCCACGTAAGACTTTGGCTTGCCTCACCACTTCCTTCCACTCAGACCATCCATCCCTGTGGCGCTACAGCCCACGTAAGGCTTTGGCCTGCCTCACCACTTCCTTCCACTCAGACCTTACTGATGATTTTCTTTTCCAAGCTTGGATTCCCAGCTGCTGTAGATCCCTCCCCCACATCATCCATCCATCTACGCCCAAGTATGCCTTCGAGCCGTTTTCCTCTGTTGTTTTGGTGGTGCATCCTCTTCGCTCCTCTGTCATTTGGCATTCTCTCCTAGCGTCCCGCCCAGCGTAGCCTGCCCCCACCCCCCTTTTTTTAAAAAAAATATTATTTTTTCTACTAATAGATTTACTTGTTCGTGTCCATATCCCATCTATAAAAAAAAAAAAAAAAAAAAAACTCTAATATGTTTTTACTATTAAAAAAAAAAAAAAAAATTGANTTTACTTGTTCGTGTCAATATCCCATCTAAAAAAAAAAAAAAAAAAAAAACCTCTAATATGTTTTTACTTGTAAACAACAGTAAATCAATGTATTTTTTAAATTCCACGTTTTAGGCCTAATTGTGGTGTGCCGAGGAACTCTGGGAAGGGGCTATGTGCGCTGTGGATGAAAATAAAATTTTACGGAGCACTGATCTATACTTAAAAAATACCATAACAATATCCATTAGATATCACATTCGTATACTATAAAAAAAAGAACCCTGTTTATCTCAAATTTCCTACGTTGGTGACACCAATCGTCTAATCTCTTCCTCAAATTGCTGGGTCTTTTAACAGCCCCTAAACATCTTATCCCTCTGCAACACACATTTTAACACCCCTCGCCTCGCGTTTTCAACGAAGTCCATGGGTGTCACATGGTGGTTAGTGTCATGGGCGCCCGCAGGTAGGGGCAAGGTGGGACCCCCCCCCCTTTTGATTTGATTAAAAAAATTAGAAAAAAATAGACCAAAAATTTATTAAAGTAAAGAGAAAATAAAGAGAAAGTAACTAAGGTGATGTCCTGTCAGTTCGTTCACCATACAAATACGCTACAGTAAATTATGATTAAAAAAATTAGAAAAAAATAGACCAAAAATTTATTAAAGTAAAGAGAAAATAAAGAGAAAGTAACTAAGGTGATGTCCTGTCAGTTCGTTCACCATACAAATACGCTACAGTAAATTAAAATTATATTAAAACATTACTAAAACATTTTTGCCCCCCCCCCAAGAAAGTTAATCGATTTTTTTTGCCCCCCCCCCTAGAAAGTTTTCTGCGGGCGCCCATGGTTAGTGTGTGTGTATCTACTTAAAGTACCGCATACCGTTCTCACTGAGAGCTGTGACCCAGTTAGTAATACAGTAGGGCCTTCAAATACCAAGTGTTCAAGGGTTAATTAAAAAGTTCTAAGGTTGAGGACATGGTCGACTCGAGATGTGATATAACTTAACCCTTTGCTGCATTGTCTTCCCACGACCACAGTTGCTTTGTAAAGCGCAGTAACAATTTCATATCTACCCATGCCCATTACTGTCATAATATCTGACACCATTATTGCCATTCGAAATCTTACTCCATTATGCTGTTAAATATATATATGTATATATACCATGCATATATACACACATATATATTCGGTTGGCTGATACCAGAATGCGGAAACAAAATGAATAAAACCTTGTGTGAACATACCATCAAAGTTTCCATGCGTTGCATATATTAGTAATGACATTATTCTGAACATTTCATGTCATTGAAAGGGGGGTTATGAATCAGGTTACGAATGCAACAAGGAAGGTATTTGTGACTCCGTCTAAATATGCCTGCATTTAATGCGGTGAACCGAATATCTGGACATTTAATCATGGTAATGGTTTTACCTTCCTTGGTGTCATCTCTGATGAAGTTAACTTTTTAATATTAAATTATTTTTTTTACGTCGGTTGCTAAAATAAACTAGAATCGTGCCAATGTATGAACAATTAAAATTAAATGTTTATGCCATATTTTTCTGAATGTTTATACCAATAGTTGAGACAAAAGTAAGCATGAACCCTTGTAAATCAGAGCAGAAGAGAGTTCATTTGTAAATCTGAGCAGCAGTGAGTTCATTTGTAAATCAGAGCAGCAGTGAGTTCATTTGTAAATCAGAGCAGCAGTGAGTTCATTTGTAAATCAGAGCAGCAGTGAGTTCATTTGTAAATCAGAGCAGCAGTGAGTTCGTTTGTAAATCAGAGCAGCAGTGAGTTCATTTGTAAATCAAAGCAGCATTTAAAACAAATTCATGTTGCCAATACCCAAACAATAGTAACAGACAGCAATTCAGAAGAAAAAAAAACAATGATTTAGCAAAGATGTTAAAAATTGAGCAACTTTATTTCATGACATTTTCAAAACAAATAACAATTCTTCCGTGAAGTATTTTAAACCGAAACCAAGTACAACCACACCAAGTTGACCCACAACCACACCAAGTTGACCCACAACAACAACAAGATGACCCAAACCCACAACAAGTTACCCACACCAACTAAATCCAAGTTTCAAACCAAATATTATAGTGAGTCTATGTAAGAATACTCCATTTTCTGAAGTAATTATCAATATTATTTTATAAATAACAGAATTAAATTATACAAATTCTACATATACAAGTAAATAACTTTTTTTTTGTCACACAACTTTTGTCAAATAACTTCAAAACATTAATTTAAAGACAAAAGCAACAACAAATTCCATATTACAAGTGAATAAAACTGAAATAATAAAACTATCAAGTTTTTACTTGTCACATCAAAGATTCTGTTTAATCATATAGGCTTCTACTATGAAACTCATAGAATCTTAAAAATGTATGGGAATATAAATATATATGGGAATATAAATAAAACTATTATTATCAATGAAATTTTCAGGGTTTGAAACATTTCAATGTGAACATTTTGCACCTAAAATTTTCTTTAACTGGAGAGGACATTTCTTATTTAAGGATTAATTTTTTTTAAAATAAATAAAAATTTCTCTTTCATTTATGATGTAGCAAAGTCACTTTTACTTGAAATTTATTTCATAATTTTTTGTCTATGCATATGTCTTTTTATCTTATGACAAAAAGGGGCTTTCAATTTTTAAAAAAAGATCAGGTCAGCATTAAGTGACCCTAAAATCCTATTTAACTAAAAATTATTCATCAATAACTTGTAAGATCAAATATCAGTACTTAAAAGTTTAAAAAGAAAATACCCAAAAGCTCATTTTAAAACCTTTAATTATTATCTTACTTTCTGCGGGAACATAACTGAAAAAAGTAGCCAAACCCCAAAAATAATAAAAGTAAAGTAAAAAAGAAGAAAATTTCATGTGTACAAAATCAACTACATGAGGAGTTGGGGCCTCGGTGGTGAGATGGATTTATCAGAGTTCAGCTTGTGGTGGATTATCATATGTATTAGAAAATAGTAGGACACGGTATGTGGAAGCATGAATCGAAAAACAGGACTATAAGATTAGAAAGTTTTGGTTAAAAAAGTTAAAAGCCTTCCTCAGCAGACAGGACAAATGAAAACACGACAAGAAACCTAAGTGATCGTCATTGTTACTGTCGACAATCATGTAGGTTTTTAACTAGTTTCTATTTCTTGTCATATTTTCCATTGGTCCTGTCTTTCATTTCCGGCTTCCACATACCCTGTTCTACTATTTCCTTCACAAAGCTTGAACGCAGTCCTTTATGATCATAAGGATTAAACTAAACAAATTGGGATGCTTGGGTACCATCAAGCAACTGGTTGAACATAACATGCGATATCATTTTCAAATTACAAATACCATAAAATAAGGTTAACGTTGGAATGCTATCATGCAGGATAGAAACCTAAAGCAAAATGTCAACAATAAAAACCAACTAACTGGCTGCATAGCAGCTACAGAAACAGGGAAACCTCAGCTGATGGTAAATCAAGGATCAAATCAGAAGGAAAAAAACAACATGTTGACTTTTCAGTTTTAAAACATCAAATATATTGAATATAAATTGATTGTACTTGTATAGTTAATAATTTATGCTCTAAATAATATAACAAACAGATATATAAAGAAAATAAATGTGTCAAATCACAACACAGAAATTATTGAATTTTCTCCAACAAATATATGGCATTACGGGGGAACCAATTTTCAAACTATAAAAAATGAAGTAGAAATATGAACAAATGTATAATTTTAAAAAAAAACACTTAATGGAAAAAAGAACACAAGTTATCTTCTATGTTTCTTTAGTGCTTAAAAACAGTTACGAATAAGTTTGTGATATAAGTAAACTTGTCCTTTACAAGAAAGCCTTTAGATTGTTCAGCATGAAACAATAAATTAATCAAACAATTTCATATCATGAAAATAAATTAAATTTTGATTAAAATTAAATCGTCATTAATTTCAGTAAACACACTCATAGTAAATATATATAAAATATTCATTGGCTGCAACTTAAAAAAGGGATATGTATGACAAAGCTTTGTCATAAATAACAAAAATTTGGTGGTAGTATATGATCAATGAGCTGTCAGGCACAATGAACAATGATATAATGTACACACAAAAGTAACATTTATACCATGATCTATATATTTTAATCACAATTCTTCTCTGATTGTCTGCACATTAGCAAACTTTTCAGGGTATTTCTCCAATAAGTAGTCCAAGTAGCCCACTACTGGGTACTTAGCCATGTATGTCCCTTCAAAAGTTTCATCAAGAGCAACAAGGTGAGCATCAGCTAAACCAGTCTGAAAAAAAAACAGAAACACAGGTCAGAACATCATTTTAAACTCACAGGTTTTGTCAGCTTATCTTGTTTACATTCTATTATATTAGTTTGGAATAATTTATCAAAATTAATTTGAGGCCTTAAAAACTTTGTATCAAGTGTTCTTTAGCATAGCACCCTGACCTATTCAATCTGCCACTGTATAAGTATTTGGTAGTAATATACTAACACTCTATCTGTATACATACTATTCAATTCAGTGAACCAAATATTATGATCCTGAATACAAGCAGAAAGTAAAAAAAACAAAATGCAGTATACACACAAACAATAAATCAATAGACAGGAACTATTACAAAGACCAAAGTCTTCATATTCAACTCTGGCTCTTGGATGAAAATTATATTTTTTTGTGTTTAAAAATCAACTTACAACATCGCTTGTGAGATCCTCTGGTTCAAGTGACATTTTAGCAACAGCTCGAGTGGCATCTATACCAACCAATGCATTGTAAGGAGCACCTTTTCCATAGAACCCTGATGTTCATTAGGAAGAAATAAAAATGTAAATGTTAAAACTAAATCTAAGATAAGAGTTATACATGCAAAAGTAATGTGCCAATAGTTCCAGGTGCTAATACAAAATTTTCATGTACAAATATGCTAATCTAAACATATTACATTAAGTAGTTCAGTTGTCTAGAAGGGTCAAATTAAAGTAGTACATGGAAAGTAGACCTCTTCAAAGCAAAAAAAAATAAAAAAATAACAGAAAATGTCGTAAACAATAATTATTTTATAATATAATTACTTCAGATAATTAAATGTCAAGTCACATAATAAACTGCTGACCCTAGCAGATAAAAGTCATAACCAAGCATCCTGGGACTGTTAACTTTTATAAGTTACATTACACTTCCTTTAATTTGCATTTTTAGAATTCTGTCTAGCTAATAGACCATTAATGTTAAGATTTTTTTAAATTGTGAAATCTTTGCTGTCATTTAAACTTAAAGGAGACTTAAATATCAGAGTTAAGAGAATGATTATAAATTTTAAATAAGGAAGAATGCACAATTCTCCTGAAAACTCAGAATTAAATTTTGGCAGTTTATTAATATTAAGGCTATTTTATTAGCCTATATTATAATAATTGTAATAGCATAATGTATTTATATAGATAAATATAGGACTAGGACACAAGACTATATATAGGTACCCCAGCTCAAATACAACTGAATAAACAAATAGCAAATCATTGGTAAAAGATGGCTGTTAGCTTTCCAAAGACACCGATATTATTGTATTATAAAGATACAGCAATCAAATTTTGAGGAAACATTTACAATACAATTTCAATTTATTATGTATTTTTATTTCTATATTTCTTAAATATATATATAATATATATATATAGGTATTAATAACAAACATTTTATTAAAAAAAAAAAATTACTTTTCCCCTCTGTTACATCAAATATGACACCTTTTATTCCCATGTAAATTGGTTCTTTTTCATTCTGAAAAGAAAAAAATGTTTAAATGGTACATCAAAATCCTGCTGCAATGTGACATTGAATGTAAATGTAATGTCAGTAATGGATACAAGTTATTGTATGAAGCTGTATCTTTTATAAGCTAGGTACAGCCAATCTTAACATTATATTCCTATTGTCCTACTATTATTCAATTTTACTATTAGTATATTGATGACACCTGTATATTATTATTATTATATCATTATTTTGTATGCTCGCTTTTCCCTTAGGCAGAGATGGCTGAATTGTACTCAGCATCTCATAGATGCGTTCACTTGGTGTCAAGTGTCAACTGTTGACCGTTTTACAAGGGCATCCTGCAACACACGTGTAAACTGATGCATTTTTTCTGGGTTGCTTAAGCAGTGGTTATTAACTGACGGACAATACTTCTTCATAGCATGATGCAATTTTTATTATATCCCTCTTGCTGTCTTCTCGGATACTACATTGTAGGGGTGTACCGGAATCAGGTCCGGAATCCGGTTCCGCCGGATTTTGCACTATCCGGTGAAATCCAGTTCCGCCGGATTTACATGTATCCGGAACAACCGGAATCCGGAATATACCGGATTTCGGAATTTGCCAGATTTTGTGACTCACCGGATCATAATCTGAAATAAAAGTAATTCTCTTTCCCGAATTCCACACGATCACGATACATTAATCGATTGTTTCGAGCGTTGAGCTTGTTTAATGTTTAATATTCCGTACATACCAGAGGCTAGAGTCAGCACCGCTAATAGTGGCCAATAGTGTAGGGACTTTGATAAGAAAATTTAAACTTTTTGTAAAAATAAACCAATGGCATAGTTGAAAAGATGTAATTTTTTAAAGAATTATAACACCAAAATCATATTTTTAGCTGTTGTAGTTTTAAAGTTATGAATTTTTAAAGTACGACTTGGTTTGTCATTTTTTAACATGGACTGCATCTCCACATTCTGTGATCTCATTCCGCCAATCCCGTCATGCGCAATGACTATATAGTTTATATAAGGCAACGCATTCCCTGCCTTATCACTAAAATACTGTTTAGACTTAGTTTAAACTTTCAACTTTGGCACATGAATAATTAATTAAAGCTTTCCCTGACCAATGGTTTAATAGTTTTTGCACACGGCAAACTCTTATGAATGAAACTCTGAGGTAGTACTACGATACAGTTATGCAAGTGGCTGTGAATGGTTGCCAATGACAACGTGTTGCACACGGTAAATTCTGATCATTTATAATATGGATTCTACCGGGTTGTTAAAGCTCAAATTAAAACATTCCAGTTTAAATGTCTTTAAATGCATTCTGAAACACAAGTTATCAATTATTTTGATGTAAATAGTGATAATAAATTAATATTTCCTAAGTATCGTCAACTTCCGCCATTAAAAAGGGGGGCGTGGCCAACCCCATGGCGAAATTAGGTTGAGCGAGCTGCATGACCTGCTGCGAACGCGTAGAAACATGGCGTCTCTCGTAAGACACTTATCGCTGTGAAAATTGGCATACGTGTAGATCAATAGATTCCCCAGATGCAAAAAAAATTTGGTAGTGACAAATTTTTTCCTTCGACTTAATTTTAATGATGAAAGTTGCCTTATATTTACCAAGGATTTTCTCAAAGCTGACTGATGGTAAATGAAAAAAGTAATTGATTAAAATTTAGGCCAAGATGTCTACCTAATTATAAGGCCGAAAACGGAACTCAAATATATATCGAAAGTACTAATTTAATAATAAATAGACACACATCGGAAAATTAAAAACTCGATTTTTTGGCGCCGATTGCGAATTCCCATACACAAAAAGTAGTAGTCTACCTTGACTTACCGAAGTATCTACCATTAGTACCAAAATCCGGAATCCGGGAGAAACCGGAATCCGGATCAGGCGGATTTCGCATAAAAAAATCCGGATCCGGTTGGAAAAAACGGATCCAGCACACCCCTACTACATTGCAGCTAAGTGTTTATTTAAATTTTTATATTGGTTTAACAGCCTATTTGCTGAAGAAGGCAACCTGTGGAAACGTTCGTTATTTTGTGTGACCTTTATTTTCCCAGGTTTTCCCATACTTTGTTTCAGTTATTTCCTTCTACCTAAACTGATTCCAGTCGCTCCCCCCTTATTATCGTAACAAGAAGTTATGGTTTTCCTGTGAGAATGCAGATTAGAATGCCATTCCAGGATCAGCCATAACTTGCCATAAGCCAATTGATGAAGATTCAATAAGCTTCTCCATTGTCTAGTTCCAGGTGCTAATACAAAATTTTGAAGTGAAGATGGAAGGTTGCCACATATATATATAATATATATAATATTAATATCATTTATTATGTCATTACAGTATTTTACGGTACAGGCCATAATTTTGGGGTGCAAGGTGAACTACAGACTACAGGGGGTCAAGATTAATAAGTAGGCCTAAGTCTAATTAACTGAAAATACTAAAACAAAGTCAAAGCTAATTATTTGAATTAGTGTGATTGATGAATGACTGGAACAGTTAGTTAATTACAATTTTAAGGATAGGGCTATAATAATATACTCATTTAATTGTACCAGAGTTATTTAGAATACCACTAAGTCTAAGTCCTAAGATCTAAGTTAGTTCTAAGTCTAAGTTTATTAAGTTATTTTAAGACTATTACTATAACTATAATTATTATTTATATAGTCTATAGCCTACTTACTCTATACTCTATACTATACTAGTATCAATCGTATTAGTAACTATTAGTATTGGAAATTTGTTTGAAAGAAATTACATAGACGGAAAATTGATCAACAGAAATTTGATCAAATCTTTTTTATAGTATAGTATAGTTCACACGTAAAAATTTTGTCAAATTTCTTTTTGAACATAATTATTATTTAGTAGTGCGTTCCAAAAGAAATTTGAGGAACATTTCAAAATTTGCATTTGATTGTGTGAACTGAAAAAAAAAGATTAATCTAGATCAAATTTTCATTCGATCAATTTTCTTTTAAACAAATTTCCGGTAGCCAGTATCAATATCGGCTTCAATGTCGGCTTGAATACCGCCTCTCACGGCTCAGACTTACAGATCCATCATATTTCTTTAAGTCGGCAGTTGTGAAGATTTTAACAGGTTTTCCATTTGATTTAATTTCAACGTCTTTTAAAGTATACGTTGATTGCTGTGTATCTTGTGTACTGCTTAATTGGAACACAATACACAATATTGATGCTAATGAAAAAGATTTTAGACTTAACATCTTGTGGCAAGAAAATTAACACCGATGGTCTTATCTGCTTACTCCGACAACACAGCAGATCATTTAATGGATTAATTATTTGTGAACATACTAACTTAGCCTTAAAGGTGAAATGTAAAAAGTATCATCAAAATGTTTGGACTTTACAGAAAGGAAAGGAAAACGAAGAAAAATCTATATTTCTAAAATTAAATCTCTATTCATAAGGCAAATGCGATGATATTTTTTATATATGAATATATTTTTTTTAAAGCATCGCAAATATATAATTCCACATTTAACTGTCCTTAAAATTATTTTATGCTTCTAACCAGACAACCCACATAACAGTGTTTTAAAGTTTTTAAAATTAATTATAAAAAAACAAAAAAAAAAAAAAAAAAACAGAAGTTAAAAAAAAAAAAATTTTTAAAGCATCGCAAATATATAATTCCACATTTAACTGTCCTTAAAATTATTTTATGCTTCTAACCAGAAAACCCACATAACAGTGTTTTAAAGTTTTTAAAATTAATTATAAAAAAACAAAAAAAAAAAAAACAACCAGAAGTTAAATAAATAAAAGTATCCGGAAGTGCGCCTGGCATATTCCGGTGTCAAATGTCTACTGGCCTTACAGCACGCCCATAACCCTTCCTTTAAAAAACTACATTGATGCTTTTTACTGAATTTATTTTAAAGATATAATGGATGCCCAGGGAAGAAAAGTTATTGTATGTGACAATGGAACTGGGGTGAGTAACACAATATTAAAAGTAATTAAAAAAACTATCTGCGTTTAGTAAGTAAACCCGGAAGTTAACTGAAAACGGTGGATCAAATGAATTAAAAAATTTTGAAGGAAAAATCATAGTATAGGATCACTCAATCAGAATGATATTGAAAACAGATCAGTGTGAATTATAGTATTATATTAAAACAAAATAAAACTTATCCTCTTAGCAAAGAATTGCTGAAACAGCAATTGAGGCAACTGAACTATCTCTTTTCATGACATTGACATTGTTTACTTTTTTTTGAGAAGTAGATTACTCAGAGTAGGTTCTTGTATGACTAACTGAACTCACTAGAATTTCTGTTTGCCTATCCAGGGGATAAATTACACCCCTGATTTTGATAGAAATTTTGGGTTTAAGAAAGTGCAACCTGGCCAACCTAAATGTGAACGGTACATATGAAACTCCATTCTGGTGCTATAAAAAGAAAGCCTCCAAAGGGTAGCTACTTAAAATTGTTTCAATTGTTGTTGTAATAGTAATAGACTCAATAGTCAAAGTCAAGAGTTATGTACTTTGGTAAAGCAAGGGAAATTACTAGGTAGTCTGTGCTGTAAAATCCGAGTTTAAATATTTTATTTTTATTAAAGAAAAGGCTGATGTTGCATTTGTTGGGTAGGGGGAGACGTGCCCAGTGCATATTACGCAATGGGCAGTTTGCGATGCTGCCATCCAAACATATTAGGGATTAATCGTTGAAAAAAATTGTAATCAATTATAAAATGTATATAGTTGAAACTTTTGTTTTACATTATTATTTATTTGCATGATACATATATTGATCATTATGATTTTAATATTTTTACTGCTAATCAACAAAACTTAATGTCAGTTACAAAATTAAACATATTGTTGACCATCGCTCACATATTGCATATGCGAGAACACCAAAGATGAAGAGAGAGGAGAACAATACGCAGTCTCAGCTTCTTTTTTTTTGTTTTTGTTAATACCTGACAGCACAGCGCAATTGCATACTTTTATCAGATATTTCTATAGATTTATTTATAATTTGGTTACAACAGCTTGTTGTCTGCAAGAGGGTGTAAACAGGAAATTTTTATTGTCACAATAACAAATTGAGCTCTGAGAAGCCGCCATTATTTATAGGACTCAATGCGTCCCATCCAGTCACTTTTTAAAGAGTAAGTGTTTTTGGGATATTGCATTTCGTTAAAATTCGTTGTCTCCTTCAGTTTCAGTACTTTCACTTTGGAAGACATCTTGACCTACATTTCCATCCATCAACCTTTTTTTTCTTTCTTTTTTCAATGTACCCTATTTTTTTTTAATTTGTAGGTACATATAGGTACATATAAGGGATCTTTCCATAATAAATGTTTGAGGGAAAAAAAATAAACCGTTTTTTCAGATTAAATCTCATGGAGAATTATATATTGATCTATATTTGTGCAAATTCTCATTGAGGTAGGTCGTTTCTGGCTTTCGTTTTACTTGTCCAGCATCCCAAAGGACTTAATCACTTGACCATCATTTAGCATCCAGACTTCATTGTGATACATAGCTCAGTGTTTATATAAATAATAAACCTGTACATTTGCATGTAGTTTACCTGTCGGTAGGGTCCTTAGCACATTTTGGCAGATTTCAAGTTATGTCGCCATTGAAAAATGCAACCCCTCCGTAAAATGAGGAACTCCCATATTTAACAGTTGAGTGTTGAAAAATGTACCCCATTAACTATTTAAAAAACTATAATTGTAATACAATAAAATACTGTTTACACCATAGGAGAGGTTGCAGACAATGCCTATTAGTAAAGTAATTTTTTATTGCTTTTATTCAGATGGTTAATATTAAGAGGGATAATTTTTAGCTATTTCTAATATTCAATCACTTTTTTCTACTTTCAAAAACATTATTTACTTTATAAAATCAGTTTGTCAAATGTGGATATGCTGGTTCAAATTTTCCTGCACACATTTTTCCATCATTGGTGGGAAGACCTATCATCAGATCAACAACCAAAGTTGGAAACATAGAAGTCAAGGTAAGAAATGGTTGAAAGAGTAGCAGGAAAGTTATTACAGACAAAAATCTATTGCGTTTCAAAATGAAATAAAAGCAATTTTTTTTTTTTAAACGTATAAGATATAGTAAATTTCTTGAATAATAAATGCACAGTTCTGGTATTATCATTGCTGATTTGTTTTAATACTTGATAATCAGAAGAAAATTATTTTTTGTTAAAGCATCTCCTTTATAGTTATGTTCAGGTTTTAGTCAGTATTTGTCAGAAAATACCTAAAGGCAAGATTTCTTATACATTTAATTTCAGGATTTAATGGTTGGTGAAGAAGCCAGTGAACTTCGCTCAATGCTAGAAGTAAACTATCCAATGGAAAATGGCATTGTGAGGAATTGGGAAGATATGACGCATTTGTATGACCATACATTTGGCAAGGATAAGATGAATCTTGACACTAGAAATACGCGTATACTACTGACAGAGCCTCCTATGAATCCAACAAAGAATAGGGAAAAAATGATTGAGGTAAAAGAGATTTACTATTGAACTAGATTGGCCAATGTATTGCTCTAGATGGGCCACCCTGTGTTTGAACATTTGTTTTACCATATTGTATTGATTTTTTATGTTATACTGAGTTACTATTGTATTTGTGTTCAGAACATTATTATTTACATTGCGCTAAAGTTTTACAGTTTAATTAATTGGTGTTCATAAATGACTGTGCTTCAAATTCAGCATTGTTATAATCCTCTTCATATTCAAACAATAACTTAATTAAGTTTTTTTAAGATTAGTTATTTCATTTCATTAACAGTTGATGTTTGAGAAATATGGTTTTCACAGTGTTCATATAGCTATTCAAGCCGTTCTAACTCTTTATGCCCAAGGTATGTTTTGCTTCATACTAGCAATCTGTGATGAGTTAAGATGTTAAGAAATCTTAGTCCATTTATGAAATTGGGATTTTTTGTAGATATTTGAGATACTCGATTCAAGTTCTCTTCAAAATTATTGTTGTTACAGTATGGTCTGGAACATTCATTTTTTTTTTTAGCAAAGAAAATATTGACAATAGGGCTTTTCAAGGTTAGTTTAGGGTTAAACATGAAATAAAACTGTTTATTATTTCAGGTTTGGTCACAGGAGTTGTAGTGGATTCAGGTGATGGTGTCACCCACTTTTGCCCTGTCTATGATGGCTTTTCTTTGCCTCATCTGACACGTAGGTTAGATATAGCAGGTAGAGACATTACCAGATATCTTATTAAGGTAAGAAATCAAGGTACTCTTTTTTGCTGAAGATTGATATACACAATTTTACAATTAGTGAAAAGAACTTCACTTAATTATTTCACTATGTAATCTAAAACTTGTGAAATCTAAAGGATTCATTGAGATTTACTAAATAAATGCATTTACATCTTTAGTCAAAATTGTTCATAATGTCACAATAAGAATTAAGTTATGGTAGAGAGTTTGAACATCTTGGTATTATTTTTTTAATTTTCAGTTGTTATTGCTGAGAGGGTATGCTTTCAACCATTCTGCTGATTTTGAAACAGTCCGTATGATGAAGGAGAAATTGTGCTATGTTGCATATGATATAGAGTTGGAACAAAAACTTGCTAATGACACAACTGTTTTAGTGGAGCCTTACACTGTAAGCAATTTTAGTGAATAAACCGTCTTTAAGTTTTTTGCCCCTCAAAAATTTAGTATATTTTCATTTTCCCAGACATGAAATTTATATGTTGAGGTCTATTTAAACCAGCTCCCTGATGGCCGTGTCATCAAGGTTGGGGGAGAAAGATTTGGAGCCCCAGAGGCACTCTTCCAGCCCCATCTCATCAATGTTGATAGTGTTGGTGTTGCTGAACTGCTCTTCAACACTATTCAGGCAGCCGACATGGACTTGAGAGCTGACTTCTATAAGCACATCGTCCTGTCTGGTGGTTCCACCATGTACCCAGGACTGCCCAGCAGGCTTGAGAGAGAAATAAAACAATTGTATTTGGAGCGGGTGTTAAAGGGAGACACCACTGCTTTGTCTGTGAGTACAATGAAGCTTACAGACTGAATTGGTGTGTGTAAAAGCAATTTCATGTTGTTTTTATTTCACTTTAATTAGTTCTTTAATACGTAAATAATTTCATTAACAGTGTTGTGTTTCATTATCAAAATTGCATGAAACATTTCATTATTTACTGTAAAATTGCATGAAAAATTTCATTATTTACTGTAAAATTGCATTAAAAAAGAATTATTATGTTACAACATGCCAGTCTTTTATGGGTTAAAAGATAATTTGGAAATCTTTAAAAATTCCTTAACATTCTTCAGCAGTGTAAAATAAAATCATAAGTTTTTTTAATCAATTCATTGGTGTTGCTTATCGACAGTTATTTATTGCAAATGATTTTGAAATATAAATCTATTTGTTTCAGAAATTCAAAATTCGCATTGAGGACCCACCTCGTAGAAAGCACATGGTGTTCATGGGCGGATCTGTGTTAGCTGACATCATGAAGGATAAAGATGAGTTCTGGCTCTTGCGTTCTGAATATGAGGAAAATGGCATCCGTGTCCTTGATAAGTTGCTGCGGCCTGCTGCAGTCTAGTTTTGCGTGGCATTGTTTTCGATTGGTCTAAAAATGGTAAATTGTCTTGAGGGTGGTCAAAGATTGAGTAATGGATTGTTTTAAAATGATATGAGAACACAATAAGAAGGGGAGAGCATAAAAACCTGAAATTATAATATAAATGTATTTTTTAAATAACATTAAGATCTCCTCCCCAGCATTATCCACTTTTGTTTTTCATGAATTAAAAAAAAAAATAAATGCATCTTCACTTACTCAAAGGGCCATAAGTGAAAATTATGTATGTTTGCTACAGTGTGGGATGATTTCTAGTTATTCAAAAACATACATTTCCATAAGCTGTGAATATGAGTGAATACTTGGGAGTTTATTTTTCTCAGCTTTGAGATTTATTTTTTTGTGTGTGAAAGCTATTCATGTTTTAATGTTTATTTTTTGTTAATGGCTGTGTGTTGCTAAAGATTCTGCTTATGTTTAAAATAATTTTTCATAGTCTTCATATGCAAATACAATATTGAAAGTAGAGTCCTCTGTAACATTAACTTCTTGACATGTTTTAGCTGGATGATAAGACTAAGACCCTGATCTAAAATATTGTGTCACTACCCTGTGATTATTGAATTAAATACTGGTGTTCTTGAATTGATAAGCTGTTTTAAGAGAAGAATATTTGTATTGACTTAAAGTTTTAATAAGGTAATTTGATAGTCTTCATTCTTCTAAAAAAAGCTGGAGAAGAAATTCAATTTTGATAAATAAGTTTTAAAGATTTATTGAATATCAATAGTTGGCTAGCTGCTCTTAAAATTTTAGCTTAATTTTTTTTTTAAGGATAACATTTTATATTCCCTGCTTTGTCATCAAAGTTTTAATATTTATTTTAGTGTTTATTAGTGGGCTTTTTGAAAATATACAGATATTACTGTTCCTTAAAGAAAATATGTAGTGCATTAATTCAGTGCTTCTCAAATGCTGGTCCTCATCAGTAGTTCTTCACCAGGAAAACTTGTGTCATATTCTTTTGCACATTCTATTACACAATGCAGCCATCATGTATTATACATCCTCAATTTGAGGAGAGTTGTATTAAACCTATTCATCTGCATGTAATCTTAAGATTGTAATGTATTTAGCAATTATGATTCATTCCAAAAAAATGTACTGTAACTACTTGTGCATTGTCATACGCAGCAAAATTTAGAATTTTAAAACTCTTCACTCTTCTTTAGTTGCTAGGAATTTATCAGTATCCTTGAAACTACGGTACACAGGTGGCTTAAAATATATAAGTAGTTTAGTTACAATTCTATGTTAAGGCCCTGTTTATCTATTTTCTGAGCAGAGTAGTTGATAAAATGTTTGTGTTCTTTAAACAGGCAAAATGTTTCAAGCCAATATAGTTCTACTTTTAGTCAAAGTTCAGCTTTATTCAAGCCAATCAGAAATATGGTATCATCAAAATTACAATTTGTTTATTTAAAAAAAATATTTGTATCATAATATTCTACCTGTAAAAGAATATGTTCCACTTCAGCTAATTCTATTAATATTGCTACTCTATTTTATTCTGATTCTTACAATATTATGTTTGTAGTGAATCTTCCTTTGACCAAGAGGCATTTTTTAAATTCATAACTTACTTCAATCATAATCAACATTGAGAGATTGCACAGATCTCTTTTTTTGGAGTCAGTCTTTTAGATTTAAGTTTCTAGACTATTATTAATTCTAAAAGGCTTTTGTTACTTGCTTTAATGTTCTCATTATATACTATTAAATGTGGGGAATGTGAGTGAGTGATCAAGTGAAACTTATTATATCAGTCCTGTTGATATCTATTATTTAAACTGCGAAGTAAGGCCTATGCATTAAATTATTCTTGTATTCTGAAACTGTTTTGTTTGTTTTCAACAGAGTACTCTTTATTATTTAGTTGTCCCTCAGCTTTCTTTACTTGTGTTGTTTCCATTCTTAAAGGAAGGAATTTTATTTTCCAGATTTAACTAACCTCTCTTTTAAAATTTCTTGACATGTTTATTTCTGATTGACCTGCTTACATATTTATATTTTTTTTACTGTACATCTTTTTTCCTTTGTTTTCATCATTTAAGACCCTGTCTTATCATGTTGATGGAGACATCATAGTTTCTACAAGTATTATTATTGTTGCACGAGAGTCCCTAAACCATCCCTCGTGACACGATACAAGAAGTTGCTTAAACCTAAATAATAAAAGAAAAAGCACAAGCACAGTGTGTTATGACATCTAAATGTATTTACACTAGAAAAAAAACATCTTATGTGAGGGGTCATTATTATGTCAACAAGCTTTCACTTCTTTCATGTCATGTCAACAAGCTTTCACTTCTTTCATGTCATGTCAACAAGCTTTCACTGCTTTCATGTCATGTCAACAAGCTTTCACTTCTTTCATGTCATTATGATGCCTGCCTTTTTTATCAAAAAAATGATGCATTCATGCATATCAAACTTTTTAAGCTGGTGACCTCATTATGTACAAGTAGTGGTCTCTTATATAGTACGCACCAGATTAATAAAGTCAATGCAGATCTTCATTCATCTTTAAAAAAACACCTCTGATCATTAAACTGTTCATATCAATATTATCTATACACATAATTTGAGTGCTTTCTGTATGAAGCAGCTAAATAATAATTCAGTCATACAGATTTGGCACTCACCACTTTAAACTGTTTAAATACATTTTAATTGGAAAAGTACATTTGGCAATATTGAAGCATCTCAATAAAAGATGCTCTGTCATTACATTTGTTATTTTAATTTTAAGCAACTCAAGAAAACATTTAAAATAGAGAAATAAAATACATGGCAACATTTTCATTTTTAACTTTAGAAAACTAATATTACAGGGGTAACCAAGCTTTTTTTCCTTTATTTTTCTCAATTATTTTTTCATAATGTTATGGATTATTAATCATGTCAAAGATAAAATTAAAATCTTTTTTTGTTTTTAACGATTCCAAATCTTCACACTAAAATACAACATAACTCCCAGAATTAGTTAAGGTTTGGTTACCCAAAATGAAAGGAGAAAATTTACAGGTTACACTAAAAGAAAAAAAAACCCTTAAAAAATAAAACATGGCCGGATTAACCATAGCAATATCAGAAAACATTATATTACAAACAAGATCAGGAAATGATTATTTTCAACAGGAGATGTGGATTTGTTTCTTAATTGTACTTGAGTATAGAAATAATAAAAATTGAAAAATGCTGCATAAGATGATGCAACCATTTTTTTTTAAAATTAACTGTATTGACTCTGAAACCATTAACGGCTAAAAGTTAAGGGTTTTTTCAATTTTGCTTAAAAGTGGCCACCACTTCAATACCTTTTATTTACCTAAAAAAACTCAGCTAAGCTATTCTTATTACCCAATGGTAGGAATGGGAACTGGTTACAATTTTTATACAAACTGTCAAAGCTTTAACCTTAACAGCAGTGAAAGTTAGTGTCTCCATAAAACAGGGAGAACAATGATTGGATTTAGTTTGTGAGCTAAAAGTGTGAACAAAATAAAAAATTATCACAAACAAAAGCAATATTGAGAATATTCAAGATGAGATGAGCATATTTTGTCACAAGCTAAGAAAACATTGCTTTCAGTAACTTATGGATAATCCAATACTGATGTCGAGCATTTATTTTAAGGGTGGTGCAATGGTATACTTTTGAAAAAAAAAAAATTTAATTTTAAATTCACTGAACGCTTACTAAATTTTATTCAGTTTGTGTTATTTTTTTTTTAATACTTGAAAGTTAATTTTATGCTGGGATTAGCTACTTTTGACGCACTTTAAATTTCTCACCAAAAAAATTTTAAGAAAACAGAAGACCATTATTTTATACAGCAGCTTGTAACTCAGTGGTTTAACAGAAAACAATAAAAATGAACAGCTTAGTTGCACTGTGTTCACTTAGAAATGGCAGGCAGCAGTGTTTGATATAATGTTATTTGAATGTCTCTAACATTGCACAAAGCTACCATTACATGACTTTAAATGTTAAAATAAAGTACATTTTTTAACAACAATTTTTTTAAATAAGTGATACCAGAAACATTATTTTAAAGATGAAGTGCTTCACAAATTGAAACTTGTGATCATCTGACAAAGTATATAAAGAGTGCTCAAACATTTCTACTTCTGGGAGATTAAGACAATGTGACAATATAAATAAAATCTTTCTGTGCTTCACATTACATGTATAATTTTTTTAAAGTAGGCCTATCTAATATATATTTTTTTTTAATTTGATTGAATCAATTCCCCTGAATACACTGTCCATTGAACTTTGCAATGGTAGAACTGAATGAAGCAAACTATTGCAAATAATTTGTGTACTTACACAGAATTATTCATTTATTAACAAGGGACCAACAGAAAAACAAAGAAAGCCTTAACTCTGATTTTTTAATAAAAAAATAAAATATTGTTATTGCTGTAAGGATGAACAGCTGTTTCCCAATCATTGTAGTAAATGTGATAAAATTGAAATCCAGCTGGAAATTCCTTTAAAATTTAGGCTATCACTAAAGTGTATTAGCTCCACACAAATTTAAGCTCCAGGCCATGCCTCTCTTTTTACTCTTAGCTTATGGATTATCCTTCCACCCAATGGAATTGACGTTATTTTTATTTTCTTATGTATTACCAAAGTAGTGGCTAAAATATGATATTGAAGTAGCCTTTATAATTTCATTCAAACAACAAAATTAAATGAAGCTACCGGTATATCATTTTTTTGCAGGGGGGGGGGGAATGCAGAACTGAAATATTTTCTTATGTATTACCAAAGTAGTGGCTAAAATATTATATTGAAGTAGCCTTTATAATTTCATTCAAACAACAAAATTAAATGAAGCTACCGGTATATCATTTTTTTTGCAGGGGGGGGGGGAATGCAGAACTGAACAGCAATTTATATTAATTGTTGTAGTCTTATGTGTTCCCACAAAAAAACATCAAACACTTCAAAACCATAGATGTTAAATTATGGCATAGAAAATAACATTTTGTACCTAAGTCATATTTTATAAGATTGAGGCCAAATCCTTTTATGAAGCTTCGTAATTTTAAGTATAGAAAATAGACTCTGCTTGAAATGTTAACATGGAAAATTTATGGTAAAAAAGACTTAGAAGGAAAAAAATGTTTAGGCTTTAAATCTAAATCATTATGGGTTTGTGAATATATTCTATAAAAACTATTAATACAGCAAGTAAATGGACCTTGCAATCTTGCATAATGAATAATGTAAAGTGAACATTATCGTTGTTCATGCAGACAATAATTGGATTTTTTAAAGTTAAAATCTATTTTGAACATCAAACATCAAAATTTAAAAAAAAAAAAAAAACTCTTTAATTTGTGTTAATTACACTAGTACACAAGCACCCATGACTTAAGTCGTAGTAATGAATATTGACCTTTAAAACTTGTTATTCAAAGAATATTTTTTCTTTGATTTGTAGAGGCAACCACAGGGATAACCTTTATTTTAGCTGTTTCTTTCCATGGAAAGTCATAAACCAGCTGCCTCTTAAAATATGAAGGAAATCCTATGAAGAAAACATTATTGGAGTTCACTATTTATTATTTTCATGTGCCTAATTTCAGAACTCTCCTGCATATTTTTTTTTTCTAATTTGAGATTAAAAATGACCTTCACAGCTAAGTAAAAATAAAATGAAGATATTTGAATGAGCACTGAGACACAATTGAACACATTATGTTACCCTTGATTTACAGTAAACAATTTATGTGTGACATAACCCCTGTTATAAAGAATCAATTGCAAAATAAAGTGTCACCAGCAGTAGTTGTCATTATTTGTTTGTAGTTATAAAATAAGCTCAGTGTTGAAATCTGCAAAAAAAATCGTTTAAGATTTTATACGTCTCTTAAAAATGATTCCAAATTTATTATTTTGCTTCTTTTAAAAGAATTTTCACTGTTAAATTGAAAATTTTAAAGATAATAACTTGGTAAAAAAGAAGTTAAATAAATTATTGGGTCTCCGGAACAATGTGCAATTTAAAATGCTGAATAAATTAAATTCCATGAAATTTGTTTACTACACTTAATAAAAATATTAAAAGAAATAAAAATTTAAGAGTAATCAAATGATTGATGAACTGGTTAAATAAATTACATACTGCTTCTGTATGCAATATTTTTAAATGGCTCAAAGACACTAAAGATGCTAATTTTAATTTATTTTTCCATAAATGATAAAATAAATGTTAACTATAAACTTAGTAAACTCTTCTTTAAAAATCTTCAATTACAAATGTAATGTTTACAATTTTATTTCAAAATGTTTACATCTATAAAAATCTCCTGGTCAAATAAAATAATTTGAGGACTAAAACAAAAAAGTCAAACATGAACTAGATCTAATAGTAGATGATGATGAAATATTTCATGGAATATTGTAAAGTTTTTAACACAATTTATTTAATGAAATACTCGACATATTAAACCTTATTTTGATAGCCCATGTACCATGGGCAATAATTATACCAGTAATCTTCATGAGCATTTGTTAACTAAAAATAATCATAGATACATATTTCTAATTAGAGCTAGTTATAAAATAAATTATTCATCATTTTGAAAAAATCAGCTATAAGTCAGTATAGAGCTCTGTCAAAGAACCTACAGCTAATTTATTCATCAATAAATTAAACAATAGTTGAATGTATCACACATGTCAATATTTAAGTAAATATTGCAGCAATTAAAAAATAGATATTCAATGTACATGATTTATTTTAAACAAAGAAATGCAGAACTGAACAGCAATTTATATTAATTGTGGTTGTATGTGTTCCCAGTAATCTTTAAGCAAAATGAGTTATTTTTTTTATTGCTTTCATTTCAAAATAACTTAAAATAATGTGTATTTTGTAAGGAATCATAAAGTTAAAACTAAATATTTTCTGGAGAGGATGAAAAGGACATTAAATGAAGCTCACTTTGATTTTTAAAAAGTTAGTCATTTTTTTAATAAATTGGCTAAATCGAA